TTTGAAGGTGGTGTTTTTCAGGGGAATTAAGGCAGAGTATTTCCTTTGAGAAGGGAAAATGGCTCATTGTTGAAGCAAAGCATGAGATTATGATTCTAATTTATTCTCTTTGAACCTAATGGCAAATGCTTCTTGCTGTAAGATGTGGTTCTTAGGGCACTTCCTCTAACCAAATCTGTCTTCCATGGGGCTGATACATTTTGGACTACTAAAAGAGAAATTCCACCACCCTCCCCCATAGATCCAAGGCTAAGTTTTATAATGTGGGAGAAAGCAATGATCAGCTAACGTCCCTGGTCATAGCTAATTCACCCTACTAGCCTCATCATATAAGGCTTCTCCGCCTACTGCCCAGGAGAAATACTTTGCTTTTTTCATTTATTCAGTCTTGGTGACTGGCTATAATTTGGATCCGCCTGAGTTTTTAAAGAGAAAATTCTGTCTCTTCCATATTTTGCATTAATTCTCTCATTACTTTATTCAACAAACATTTATTGAGTCCCTCCTTTGTGCCAAGCATTGGCGATACCAAGATAAATTTGACTCTGAAATGCTTTGGGAGAAACATTAATGTGTGTGTGTGTGTAGTATATATAAGCAAAATATTATACACATATAATATTATATACATACACATGTGGTATAGATAGACGATAGATGGCACTACTTGTATCCACATCATCTGTCATCACAGTGGGAAAAGAGTGTCACTAAAATTTAGTGAGTCTGCTGGAAAATTCTAGGATTTCTCGTCAAAACTGGAGTGGAATATTATTTAATCCAACCAAGGGAAAGTAATTTTCCCAGGACCATAGAACTAGATAGTGAAAGAATGTGGGTCATAGCTCAGCCTTTTGACTTTTGAATTTTCTTCATTGCTTCCCTCCAAATGCCTCACTAAAGACAAAAGGCCTTCATGACTGGTTACCTACATTGTGGTCAACACTGAGAACATGAAGTTGGCAATTTGGTGATAACTTTCTGTTTGATCATTTGCATTTCTAATTGTTAACAAACAAGCAGGATTTTTACTTACAAGCTGGTGTGTGACCTGATAGAGAAAGCAGGAACTTTCGGGCTAGTGGAGAGGGAGGGGAGGTAAAAAGAGACCCATTTTACTGAACAGCCAGGCACATACGTGTGTAGACACCTTGACCCCTGCTGCCACACTTAGTCTTTTTACCAGCCATGTGAGGTCTGTAGTATTTCTGTTTCACAGATGAAGAAACTGGGACAGAGTAATGGCCCCTCCAAAGAGGTACATTTGTCAACTCAGTCAGGTCCCATTCACCCGCTGGACCATCACCTCAGCCGTTCTCCTGTTAGAGGCGCATAGCACCATGATGCTTTCCTCCTTGGTGTTCATCACAGTGGGAACTTCAACACTTACTTTCTTTTTTGTTTTTTAAAGTTGGAGTCTCACTCCATCACCCAGGCTGGAGTCAGCGGTACACACGCATGGCCACCTCACTGTTGACCTGCTGGGCTGAGGTGATCCTTCCGCCTCATCCTTCCAAGTAGCTGCAACTACAGGCAGGCACTACCACACTGGTCTAACTTTTTGATATATTATAGAGACAAGGTCTCACCAATTTGTCCAGGCTGGTCTTGAACCTGTGGGCTCAGGCAATCCCCTCACCTTGGCCTCCCAAAGTGCTGGGATTACAGGCTTGAGCCACTGCACCCAGCCAACACTTACTTTAATGATTACTGGATCACGTTTCCTGCACTTGCTGGTGACTCCGCAAGGGCAAGACGGTGTGCATGGCCCACCTCTGTATCCTTATTACATGAGAAGACGCTCAAGTGACTGAATGTAAGAGGTAGAGTTGGAATTCAAACTCAGTTCTTCCTATTATGAATAATTATCTGAGTTACTCTTCAAAAACACTCTTCATGGACAAATCAAATATCAAAAATGACATTCTGTTCCTGTCTATATAATGGATAGGGTGAGAGGTCATTAGAAGTCATTGGGAGAATCGGCAAGTAACTTGTTCATGTGTTCATCTTTCTGTCCATTCTTTGGTTCTGTTGATTCTTTCACTAATATCAGTCGAGAGCCTCTGAAGGAGACAGCACTTATAGGCTTGAAGCCTAGAAAATGTGTCTGGCAGGGAGAGAGGAAGGCAATGTCATACCTCAGACTTGATTGTGGAGGGTGCTGATTCACTAACTAATTAGTAGTTTCATTTTGACCCTTCAACAAAGGCACAAACAAAATCAAAGTAGAAGGGATAGATGGCATACAAAAGAAAAGGCAGGAATGTCATTTGTGTGCCATATATTAACTCTGACTAGCCTAACTTTTTTTTAAACCTATATGTATGTATTTTTAATTACTCTGAAATATGTGTTTTCTCAGACAAAATTTTTTAGGAGATCTGTAGTCATTCATGAAATCTGTTCAGATGACCTTTTTCCATTCTTATTTGCACCACCAAGTCAGTAGATTCTGAATACTTGGACTTACAGAATGTTTGAACATTTGACTAAAGCCACAAGGCTCTGTGGAGCGGTTGCATGTTTTAGCCGTGAAAGGGGCCAAGGGGGGGAGGTGAGGCTGGTGAGGCTCGTGTGGTGTCTCTTTCTGGGCCACCCCAGGCCGCCCTTGCTCATCTCACACTTTCCTGGGCCCCCCAGCAGCAGGGGCAAAGGATAGAATTGTAAGCAGAAATTGTATTTGCTTTTGTTTAGTGAAGCCAAAAGCCTTAATGTTATTTTATCAAGTCATTGTAAAGACAACTGGCAGCCAGAGAGAGATTTTAAGAGCACCATAAGAGTCTTTACAGTCATGAGGATGGAGGGCAACACAGGAAGTGTGTGTGTGTGTGTGTGTGTGTGTGTGTGTGTGGTTTTTTGAGTCTTTTTTTAAATTGAATATAGTCATTGTCTTCACCTTGTCCAAAAAAGACCTGAACCAATTAGAAGAAGAAGAAAGACTCACTTGATGTATGCCAAGTACGGGAGTCAAAAACATGGAGCGTTTGACTGAAAAGACACCAACCAACCTTTAGATTTCTGTGGCTGAACACTAGATCCATCACTCCTCTGTTTCATTTAAAAAATTGCTCCCTGATGTACAAACTGACTTCAATTTTGAATTAAATTTAGCATTCAAATTTATAGCCACTTTGAAAACTGAGGGTTTATTTATATCCTAAGAACCTGAACAGTTTCTTAATTACAGCAGCCCAGCAGCCTTTGCACATGAAGAATCTGGATTTTAAGAAAAAACCAAAAACGTCCCATGTAGGTTTTTCCACATTTTTCGGATGCTTTCATAGCAGCCATCATATATGGGGAATAGTATTAAAATCCTGCTATATTGTAGTTTAAATTTAAGTGCAATACTTCCCAGAAGAGATTTTAGTGTATCCTATAAAGGCATTACAAGGTTTGTTTTTGTTTTTGTGGGGGGTTTCTGTTGACTGGAAAGTCTACTTCTAATGAGAGAGATGTTGGTTCCTTAGAATGATCTTTGTGTGTTAACAACCTGTGCAAGGAACTTCTCTCTTGCTTGTTCTAACGGGTAAAAGTCATCTTTGTTTGCGTGAAAGAAAGGGTCTGATTAAACTAGGGTGAGCCTTTCATTTTAAGCAGAGTTAAAGTCTAGGGTGTTTTTAATGTTTTAATCTCTGTTTAAGAAGTTTCTGTTATGAGAGGAAAATTGATAACATTTTTACCTCAGCAAACTGCCAGCAAACTGGCTGTGCTCTAATCCCACATTTATAGTGATTTATATTCTCTGTGGCAATGTGCTGTAACCTCAGAGTGATACCACTGTGGTGTAGATTGACTGCATTCCAAATGCTGGAATCACATACATAATGTTTTTACTTTTAAATAATATTCAGACACTAGAATAAATACCATATGTGCACTGATGCTGGTTACAATGGAACCTTGTCATTTCTTGTAAGGGAGAACATTCTTTGTTTCTGATTCCTGTTTGAAATAAGTATGCAAAAGATAAATATGTACATTGACAGCATTTTCAGAAGGCTTTGGTAATTACACAGCTGAGGATGTAGCTACGATTCCTTGAAATGTATCGTTTAAAGCTACAAATATTGCTGCTTGTTGCCACCATCCCTCATGACACACATGGAGGCAAGGATTGTTATCTAACATTCCCAGTGTAGGGTATAACTTTTATATTTTTTATCTGCAGCATGCTGCAGCTAAAGGACATCTGTTGGGGGAAAATTACCTCCATGAGCACTGTTCATAGGAACAGTGAGACTAACATGCTGATGACATTGTCACAGAGAGAGTAACACGCTTGCTAATAGGAAAGGATGGATTGATTGGAAAGCCATAATTCAGTGTGAGGCCTAACGTCATCTGATGCCACAAAAGCAGAATTTAAGTGGCCTAACATTTTCAAAATCCAGATAATCAATCTCCCTAGATCTATTTTTCCCACATGATATTGAAGATTTAAAAGTTTCATAAAGTTTAGAAATACCTCCCAAGTCATGCATTTTTGGATTTGTGTTTTTCTCCATCTTGGTTGGAATTCAAATTCACTTAAATGTATTTTTTAAATAGACATGGTAGAATGCCTTTCATATTTGTACATACATACAAGCTCCAAAAAGTCAATCCACATTTGCTTCTTGGGAAGCATCTTCATTCAGATTTGAGTTTTGTCATTGGTTTGACTATACTGAATTCATGCCTATAACATTTGTATAATATTTTGTAGCTGATTTAACCCTGGGCATTGATACTGATGGATTCTCTACTGCTCTGCATCTCTATCCAGTTCTGTGAGGTTTGCCCAGAATATATAGTGTGAGATTAATGTGCGAGTAATACATCATAACTTACCTGTGACAGTTTATCTGGCAAGTGATTTAGTTGGGCAAGTCTTACCTCCTTTGTAGAAGCATTCCTTGATATAAAAATGCTTCCAAGTCCTTTTTTGAAGCTGGGAAGTTACAGATAAATATTGAACATGTTGAACATATCTAACATATTGCCTCTCCTTTCAGCTTTTCGGATGATTCCTTATCCCTTGGAAAAGGGGCATCTATTTTATCCCTATCCAATCTGCACAGAAACAGCAGACCGAGAGCTGCTTCCATGTAAGTGTCACCTCCCCTCAACCAGGAAGGGTGTATGACGAAAGCTGGGGATGGGAAGAGGTGGGAATGATCAGTGTTTGTGATGTTCTTTGTCTTTTTATTACTTTTTCCTAGCCCCTGTCCTTGTTTGATAGCATATGTATTGAAATGAATTATGTGAGTGGGTTTGGCTTCCTGTTCCTCCAAGTCTCTCCAAATTCATCAAAGGGAAAGATGCCAAGTAACTGCAATTTACATGAAGAAACCTCATATATGGATTGGCCTGAGTACAGAGACCCCTGGTTTGGGACTGACAGTGGCTGGGCCAGTCCATCCTGAGGGTTCTTCCTGGGCTCTCCAGCTGGTCAGATGTGGTCAGCACAGACTGGAGTTTGAAGAAGTGCCGACTTGAGCGGGAGCTGCAGATGAGTCACAGGCAGGAGGGCAGCACCAGGATGCTGGCCCCAGAGCTGGAGGTAGAGTTGGGGCAAGGTGGCATGCCCTCTGCGGAGAGTGCTGTTGACCAGGGGGGTTTCCCGTGAGCATCTCGTGGCTTGCACGTGGTGAGTTGGAGTAACATGTGCAGAGCCCACGTGCAGCCTCAGCACTGTATCGAGCACACAGAAAGAAACCCTGCCCTCGAGAACCTTACAAGCCAGCAGTCTAATGGCCCATTGCACATGTGGAAAATATTATTTTGGTTTACTGTAATGCAACATTGTTTTGACAATTCAAGCTAAATAGTTATTATCAAATCATACTGTGTACAAGGATCATGTCAGGCTCTTCATGTGGCCCTGACTTAGGACATATTTTTCCTCCCTCAGATAATAAGCTCCAAATTTTGGCTATTCTCTCTTCTCATGCCACCCCCTCCCTTTCACCAGCCCCAGTTGTATCTGGGTCTCATAGCTGTAACATGTAAATACTTTGTCCAGAGGAATAATGTATCTTTGGAGCCCTGGATGTGTAGTAAATTTCCAAATGCCAGCATTACTGAGCCAGTCATAAATCTCCAGCATGGTGGATCTGGGTGCAAAACTGAACTGCTGTCATCAAAGTGAGGTAGCAGGAGGTACCTCACTTGTTTCCTTGCCAGCCGGACCTAATGTGATATTTGTCACCTAGGAAACTGGGAGGCCTCACTGACACGTTCCTCACTGTTCGACTTTTATTATAAAAAGGGTCTGGTGCCTCCCACGACACTAGATTTGACTTCAGAAATCCCTGCTGTGGGCCCATGGTTTACCTTTTGACTCCTCCTTCAGGGAGATCCTTGTTAAAGTTTCAGTTTTCTGGTAAGGAAGGCAGTTTTCTGAAAAGTACAATGTTTTGGGATGTTTTAATCGAGTCCAGTTAAGTTTCCATGGGGATAGATTAGTTATTAGAATAAGATTACAGTTCTTAAAAGAAACTTTATAGGATCATCTTTATAAGCCTGAAATAGAAAATTGTGGCTCACATTTATTTAATTGAATGCAGTGGTCCAAGTCTGATCTCCCGCCAAAGTGTTTTTTTGGGTTGGGTATTTAGCGTGAGGATATGACGAGGGTAGGTTGTTTTAAATGCTACCCATAATTTGCACATTAAAAGCATAATTATTGCCACATGAGGCTCTGAGTGTTCTTCTACCCTGTGTGGAATCCTCACAGGCTGACTTACCTGGCCTCAGGTAGGCGTGTCCTCCCCTGAGCCTCTTGGGTCACTCTTTAGGGCTCCGAGTAACAAGAGCTGATGCGTAGAGGAAAGGCCTTCTAGTCTTGTGTTCCCTGAGGAAAATGGAGCCTTAGGATCCTTGTGGTTAGAGTGGCCATATTGCTCATGGGCAGTTTCATGGCCACCTCCTCAGGCTCCAGGCAGCTGACTCTTTCTCCTCCGTGCAGGCCCAGTCCCAGCAACCAGACAGTCACAGGCTCCACATAATGACAGAAGGAAGGGGCCAATTCTCTTGACTTTTGTACCTCCGATTTTTGGTTTTCCCCAAGCCCAACATTTGAAGTGTAAAAGTTCAGAAAGGCACTCTGAAGAGCACCAGCTTGTTCTTGTTTTTTGGTGATGTTGGAAATACATTTATCTTCAAGAGTCTCCTACAGTTGTGCCAGGTAACTCCAGCAGCCTTGATCTCCACCCCTTGCAGTTTGGATAGACAGCATGTGAGGTCCTTACTGAGCGCCCCTATCAGAGGACACCCTCCAATGACATACTTAGAGGGTGCCAGAGAAAAATGCAAGATAAATTAATATTGCCTCATTATAATAATTTTTAAAATATAGGAAGGTAAAAATGCAGACAAGGGATTTTTTTTTTTTCAGTGTACTTGATTTTGGATTTTCCAGGTTTTGTTCAATCAACATGTGTTTTGTAATTTGAGTAAAGTTGTGTTTGCTTTTGAGAAAGGGATGCTGTATATTAGGAATAGATGGTGCTCCTATCCCTGCCCACAAATGTGTGCCATCCCCAAATTAGCCTTGTCATGCCTCTAGCTAGAGTGCTGTAGGTTGGACAGGGACTTAGGTGAAGAAGATGGTCTGTGAAAGCTGGGTCAGATGTTGGATATGGTTTGTCAGATGTCCTTTTTCTTTTCCAACAGGCTTCCTACTTGCTCCAGAGCTCTGAAGAGTCAGTCCCAGGCTGTAGACATTCCCTGAAGATGCATTTCACTCCAGCCCTAACATTTCCCTTTTGGTCTTCTCCACAGCTTTCCATGAAGTCTCAGTTTACCCAAAGAAGGAGCTTCCTTTCTTTATTCTCTTTACTGCTGGATTATGTTCCTTCACAGCCATGCTGGCCCTCCTGACACATCAGTTCCCAGAACTTATGGGGGTCTTCGCAAAAGCTGTGAGTGTTTGCCCAGAGAGAGGTCTCAGGAAATGGGTGGGGAATGCCAAGGGAGGTAGGGGAGGAAGAGAAAGGCGAGATTGTCATGCAGAAATAGATACAAGTCTATGGAGTTCGAGTTCGTTGCTCACTGTTTAATTTTCATGATCACCAGCAGAATCAAAGGGTTAAGGGTCAGATGAGAAAATGTATATTGTTAAAGCTTGCCTTGTCTCATTTCACAAAACACTTTCTGAGCAGTTTCTAAAAATGCAGGAGGTACAAAAAGATGAAATAATTTAGGGGATCCCAGCAAATGAAAAGTGTGTGGGAAATGATCCTGTTTTGTACAAATTGAATGACATTATTTCTAGTCTTTGGATATTGTGCCTCTTTCCTTTATGAAGGATGCGACTTACACTTCCAAAGATGCTTTAAGTAATTCTTATTTAATGGCTACAAACCCTTGGCTTATTTAGGGAATGAACTGAGAGAGGGTGTGAAAGGCTTGTAGTATTAAGAAATAAACTGACATGATGTTTAGAAATATGGAAATCCATTAAGAGTCTTGAAAGGGGTTGTGGAGAGGAACTTTAACAAGAAAAGCCATACGCATTGACAGCCAAGAACCATTGTTTCTTTGTTGAAAACTGACCGTTTCTGCCTACACAGGCAGTGAGGATAAGTCGACTGATTTTGCCACACATGCGTTTCAAACAGAAGGAACAAGGGGGAGAGTCTCCACTTTTTCCCTGGGATTCCGTTCAGATTCCAGGCCAGTGGCCTCAGAAAGGATGGCTTCTAACTTGGCTGGGTTGATTCAGTCCCTTTCCAGAGGATTGACATTTTCTGTTCTGCAAAGTTCAGGGACTGGAATTGTGAGAGCATGTTCATGTGCGTTAAAGATTAGCTGGAAATCCTGCTAGCACCTCCATCTCGGCATTTCCAAAACTGAATTCATCCTCCTCCTTCCCTGTCACCAAAGTGCTTCTTCTCCTGTGAGGGTCCTGCCATCCCCTGCTACTCAAGCCAGGACCTGCAGCCCTCCCTCACTCTTCCTCTCTCAGTCCTACACCCAGCTGTCCCAGCCTCTGTCAGCTCTAACCTCCAAGGCCTTCAGAGAGGAAGTGTGACTCACCTCACTCTCCTCCCCTCCCCCACAGCATGTTAGTAAGGTCCCTGTGACTTCTTGCCTGAAGTAGTCTTCACTGATCTCCCAGCCTCCAGTCTTATTCTCCACCACACCTTCTTTCATACTGACACAAGAACGACTTTTTGGAATTGCACATCTGAGCGTGTCACCTCCCTGCTGGAATTTCTCCTGTGGTTTCCCCGCCCACCTTGGGGCCATCCCAGTTGTTTAGCATGGCATTCAAGGCCCCTTGTGGTCTGGCCCTCACTGCCTCTTCAGCCTCATCTCTCCCAGTTCTTACACAGACACTGCTCTTCAGCCATCGCGAATCTCTCGCCATTCCTGGGTGCACCAGGCTCTTGCATACCCAGTCCCTTTGCACCTGCTGTTTGCCGTGCATGGATTGCCATTCACCATCACCACCTCACTTATCCACTCCACTAATGCTTCTTCATTCTCTGTTACTCAGCTTTAACTTTCTCTTGAGATAAGTTAGTTCTGTGTTCCCACCATATTCCATGAATACCTATTTTATCACGTTTATTGTCTGGATTAAATTGCAGAAAACTCATCTGTTCATACTTAGAATGTGAGCTCCTTAAGAGCAGGACTGTGTCTTCCTCATCTCTGTATCCCCAAAGCTTTGTATAGTGCCTTGCACATAGTGGGTTTTCAGTCAATGATTATTAAATACATCAATAGTAGTGGTCTCTGCAGAAGGAATCAATGTAAAAATCAGATGCGGCTTAGCATTTCTTCTCTTCTTTTATGCTTATAATAATAACCTCTTAGAGTTGAAAGGGACCTTTAGCACATTGCCTGTAACAGTAACCCTGAAGCAAGGCCACCTAGACTCATCTCAAACACTTCTAGCAATGGGGAACTCACCCAGGTACCAACAAAGCCCATTTCACTATGGGATGACTCAGGACTCTTCCTTACCACTGCTAAGCTCTGCCTCCCTTCCATTTCCACTTGTGTTTCCTATTCCAGACTCTGAGAGTATGCCAGAGAGGCCTGCTTCCTTTTGAAAATTCTTGGGACAGCTCATTTATTCATGGACGTCTTTAACCTCTAACCAACTACCTTCTCTTTCCTATCTTAGATTTCCTTAAGTAGTTTGTACATGATTTGATTTCTAAACCCAGTAGTACCCCCCAGATTGCCATGTTCCTTAGTTTAGGCTCCTACACTAATCATTATGTTCTTTAACTCTCTAGCCAGCTTCTGAGTAAAAGTTGTTGCCAAAACTTTGAGTAGAGTGTAACTTGGTAAAATTTAAAATAATGTATTTACAACATTAGACAATTACTATACCCCCTTTCATAAAACCATATTCTCCCTTAAAGATTTTTTAGAGCATATTTGTTAAAGTATGTCATTGGTCTAGTATTCTTCATTAAACTAACTAATAGCACTTAGTGGGAATTTTGGATCAGTACAGAGATTCCAGCCTCTAGTATGATGTGTAATCACCTGGTCACATCACCAGAAACTCCAAATCTTAGGAATCTGTATTTTTAACGGAGACACCATCAGATTCTGAGGATGGGGTTGAGGACCATGTTTCCTTCCAAGGACACTGGTCTCAAGAAAGCTGAACCTTCGAGCAGCCATGTGCAGCCACAAGGTGTCCTGCCAGAGTGTTCAGGAGAAAACTTTTCGGGAATCAGTGGGTTCGGCCTGGCTGCACCTTGGCATCATCGAAGAAGCTTTAAAATGACTGATGCCTGCCCTCCTTAACACCTTCCCCTCATCCTCCCACTTTGCCACCTGCCCCCGCCCCCCAACATAGTTGGTCTGGGGTCAGCATGGGCAACTGAGTTGTCAGACGCTCCCCTGGTGACTCGAATGCACAACCAAAGCTGAAAACCACTGTATTGAATGAAATGACTAATGGCCTGAGACGACTTGAGCCAGCAAGGGGACTGGGAGTGCGGAGGACAGTGACCAGATGTGACTGGGCGCTCTCTAGGGCAGGCTGCAGGCTGTCCGTCTGGAGCATGAGGAGGGGGGTTCATTTCGGAGGGTAGCAGAAGACCACGCTCCTCATTAATGTTTGCAAAGCTTTGGTTTTGCAGCTAGGATCAAATGACTGGATAACAGATAAGTCTGCCTTTAGGTTCCTTCTACTTTGTACTCTACCAAGGTGTGGTAGCTTGGTCAGCTACCCATCAGTTTCAAATGTAGCTGAGATACGTTTGCTTTTCAACCTCTGTCTGGAGAATCACATTCATCTTGCCCTTCATTAAGGTCTGGCGGTTTCCAAAACGTCTGGAGGGACTTCGTAGAGAAGGAAGATGGATGGCCTGAGTGAGACAAGCCCCATCCCCCTCCTCCCCACCCTGCCCCCAGCATCTTCCCCACATCTTAACCCTGGTCACCTCATCAGGCCCCTCCCAAAGCCCCTACCAGCACTGGCAGGTTATCACAGCTGCCCTAGGGGCTGCCTGCAACCATTTGCAGCTTGTGAAAGTGATTTTCTCAGCCCTCTCCGAGATAAAGTCCCTGGGATAATGACTTCTAGTAGATGCAGGAAGATTGCATGGGCACCCCCAAGGCTGCGCAGCTTGGGAACTTTCCAGTGTGTTTACACATTGACAGGCAGCCCAGTAGGGAAGCCCACCGGGAAGTGTGAGCCACTGGCGGATGGTGAAAGGAGAGGCTTCCACTGGCTTTCCCCCACTAATCTAATCTGCCTCAGCGACATAGGACCAACTCTTCCTAGAATGTTTGGTTACCAAGATAAACTTGCGCATATAAATAAGTGATCATTCCAATCCCAACTCCTCACAGAAGGTGGGAAGGTCAGCATTCTGACCCCTCTTCTTTCAAGGGCCCTGCCTTTCCTCTTCTGGTCTCTCCCCACCAACCCCCGACTCCTGACTCTTCTTCACTTATAGGCCCCGACCTCTGTGAAGTCTGATATTGATTACAGTGAAATGCCAGTTGTCTGATTGCAACTGAGCACCTGGAACTTGCTCAGATAAGCAGAGGCGTTTTGAATGTTAATGAAGCCTGCTATGAGACGTGACCTTCCAAGTGATGGCAGTTCAGGAAGAGGAGGATCAGGAGATTGAAGTGTCACTCTCTCTTTTTTATTAGTTCAGTTGCTTTTTCTCACCACTGATTGAATCATGGGTCATTTTGGCTAAAGATTTGACTGTGTGTCTCTGCCCTCTGGACAGAAGTTTTAGACACTGAGATAGATGGACTGTTCCGATTGCCTGGCGTTGCTCATTCAGACTTAACTTTTAGGCAATAAATCTCCCCACAAGTCTGGAAGTGAAACTGCAGTTTCTCTTGATGCATTGCTTGTTGCTCCAACCAGAAAGCATTGACTACTTTTTAAATGCATAGAGAAATGCAGCTGAGCATCCCAAGCAAGGCATGCTCCTCCAGACATTGTCTTTCATACCTCTGGATGAAAGTCCCTGGCCTTTATCTGATTACTAAGTGAAAGGGCTTAGTGGCTCCAGGTACCTCACTTGAAGTCTACTTCTTCCTTGTGGGGGTGGGGTGGGGAGGAGGATGTGGGGAGGCAGAGGAGAAAGATGGCTTAGTAATGAGGGGAGCACATCTCATCTAGGGCTCTATGAGACTAAGTTGGTGTCTCTGGAAAAAAGCTCAAGGGAGTCTTTCTGAATTCTCCCAAGGATGGAACATTCTAGATGTGAGAGAGAGAAGCAAATCATTTCCTACCCTGGAGACACTGGAGCTTGGTTCTCTTGAAGAAGCTTGTTAAGAAGGGCATGTGTAATCCAGGAAGCAAAGGACGACTGTACCTCACTGTGCAGTGTGGGAAGAAGGGACACGTGTGGACATCAGACAGTGTGAGGCTCTCTCGATTTTCAGAGGCCTCACTTTTGTGCTTTTTATCCAAGTCAGGTCAGTGCCCAAAACAAAGCAAACAAGCAAAAAAGGCCTTTATGTTAAGCCATCTTTTTGACCTCATCTTTATTCACTCTGCAAGCAGAGGCTCCCTGATGTCCCCACGTTTTAGTGTCTGGAGTCACCCAGAGCACAGACGTTGAGAAGTGCCTTTCACCTAATTGGACAGACTCATGATAACATCCAGCCATTCCTCCCCGACTCAGTCACAGCTCCAGCAGTTCTAAATCTGTTTCAGGCCTAGTATTTAGGATATGATAACTTCATCAGCAATATCATCTTGTTTATGGAGCCCATTTCCAGCACCTCCCAGAGTTTCCGGTTTATCCCAACCACATTAGCACTCAGCTCCTCTTTATGGGGTGGAGCATTATGGGCACGTGCTGTGGTTACAGGGCCTTGTGGTCTCTGATTATATGTGTGTGTGCATGTGTGTGTATACATGCACAGAGATACATACACATATAATTATGCCTACATGTGCATATATAATTGTATATATTTTTAATTTCATAATGTTATCATTTTGGATTAATTCAATCAGTAAACTTGCTTCATATTATCCTCTCATAACCAGGATTTTAATGTTTTCAGAGACAGCTTGAGCTGTAATGATCATTTCTGGACCCAGTGTCTCCCACGGTGCCTTCTAGCTACATTCGTGGGTACACTCGGTCCACTCTAAACCGAAAAGGGTTGGCTATCCATGCTGTAGGGTGAGCACCCCAAGTGGTTCTGAGCACTTAACAAAGGATAGTTTCAGAAGGTTATGAGAAATTGCCATATGTGTAGAACCCACTTGAGGAAAGAACCATCTCCTCTTTGCTCAAGTACTCATGTGACTGCCTGTTTCTGAGCTGCAAATCCAGCCTGTCCCACAAGGCCCTCCCCAGTGTTCTTCTAGCCACTTTTGAAGCTACTTATAACTTAACTAAATGGAACTGCTTATATCCTCTTCTTATGCCTATTGCCTTTCCATTCCTGGTCCAGCTGTTCGAGAGCATGGAGGGCCCACCTTGCCCGTACTCTTACCAGCTTTATCCCATCTCCATCTTTCGCTAGTCCAGCCATCCACTGGAGTCTGTTTCACCCACTGCATTTTTCAAAACTTTTCCTGCTCCTTTCCACAGAATAGATTCTCTCCCTTTTCTGAATCTTCCTGGTGCCTTGTTTGGGCTTTTCTCCTGGTTTCTGTCATGACCTATCTGGTTATTTCTTCGCTCTATCCAGATCTTAGTGCTCCCTCTCCCGCTGGTCTTTGAGTTTCCTGACAGTGAGATTTTGATTTTGTCCTAGACTCCTTTATATCTCCCCTAGCACTTATATGCCTTACTGAGTAAATATATCTAATTGATATAAAACATAAATTGGAGAAGGATTCCAAATCTTATATTGTCTTCAGTTTCCATTATACAAATCTCATGCTTGATGATCTGGCCATAATGTGTTACAAGCCTTCCCAGGGTATGCTCTACCGGTCTTTTAAAACAAAAGAGAAAGAAGGAAGGACTCTGAGGTCAGTGAATTTGGGAAACTTTCCAATCATGGCTCTTCTTGGAGACCCACAATCCACAGAACATATGACCAGTAGAGGAGCTTGCTTTAGCTTCATTAAATGTACTGTCTGCTAAACCTGTCTGACCTCAGAACCATGCTCACCTCTGCAAATGTGTTACAGCCTGCACCACACTTGTGTGGGAAATTCTTGGTGGTGTAAGTGGTGCTGAGTGCAATGGGCAATGATCAGGACATGGACGTAATCAGAATAGATTTGAGATTATGTTCCATGAGTCTCAGGGGAAGCACTTGACTTTCTTAAAAGGCACAGCTGCCAAGCGTTATTCTCTATATGAAAAACAGAAAGGAATTAGTCACCAAATAAAAGGATCTAAGGTCCACCCAGAGCGGTCCTCTGCAACAGGGGCCTATGCTCCATGAATAGCTAGTCTGCCACCGAAATTTCCCGGCTCCGTGCCACTGCTAGGCACATTTCCCGGCTCCGTGCCACTGCTAGGCACATTTCAGAAAGGAGCTCAGGCTGCCCAGGTGTTTGGGAGGCATCGAGGTCCCAGAGCAGTTCACACACAACCAGCCTGACTTTTTAAAATAACTTTTTCCAGGTAAAGTGAGTGCTGCACCCCGCTAGACAAGCAGCTGTCCCAAGTCATCACCCTTTTTAACTCTTCTGCCCATTTGTCACCCATCTGTCATTCATGACTGATGACACAGTCATCTGTCTGGGCAGCCAGCAGCTCTCAAAGACTAGCAGAAAGACCTCAGGGCTGTGGCCCGCTGCCAGGAGTGAGGGCACTGTCAGCAGACCCTTTTCGCCCTAACAGTGCTGGAAGGCCGGCTTGACCACCAGCCCCTGCCTCCTGTAAACACAGAAGTGGAGTGAAAGCCCTCTGAGACTTCGTCATGTGGAGACTTCAGATGCCAGCATGGGTTGCAGAGGCTCTTTTCAAAGTCTTGAGCAAAGTCTGACATGAGTGTCTCTCTGGTTTCCTTGCAGTTCCTCAGCACTTTGTTTGCACCCTTAAACTTTGTCATGGAGAAGGTGGAGAGTATCCTGCCATCCAGCCTGTGGCACCAGCTGACGCGGATCTGAGAGAAGCCCCGTGCTCCAGTCGCCTCCCCCAGCGGCTGCCACCATCTCCTCTGTGCCAACTCCTCGTGGACCGCAAGAAAGCATGACTGAAAAGGGAAGCCATTCCGAGATTTTAAACTGTTCATGGACTGTTCCATATTAAAAGCTGTTTTTTGTTGTACAAAATTTATTGATGTTCAGTTCTATTTTATTTTGCCTTCAGAAAAGAAAAAAGTAAAAAATAAACTTTTGTGTATTGCAGCAATCAGTTGTGCCTTCCTGTATTTTCCAACCCAAATAAACCTATGTGTTGACTTTGCCTTTCCTAGGGCCCTGGATTTGCTGAGCCACATCATGGTTTTCTGTGCTGGTGGAATGCCTCCTAGCAGGCCCCAAGAACCCCTGATAGTCAGAGACTTGGAAAATGGAATCTCCTTGGTCCAAAATACCCTATTTTTCAATCCCAAACTGAGTATTCCTCTGGGCTTAATGTACAAAAAGAGCTCCCAAAATTGAATGACCAGGAGCATGAATGAAATGAAACATATATGCCATACTGGTTGGTCCTGTTCAGAGACTCTACTTAGTGAATAGTATTCAACACTGTAGTTCTAGGAATCATTTGTTTTTTGCTGCTTGAAAACTTATTGTGAGAAGAAACTTCTGATGAGACACTACAGACCCAAAGTCTGTAGTCACACCTGACCACTGTACTGTCGCTTTTTTTTTTTT